ATGCCAAAAAATATTCTGCTTCGGCAATATAATTACTTAACACATACACACATACACACACCCCACATATATAAGTATGCCTCTGGAAAGAGAAGCAAATAAATCATTTTAATTGGTTTTTTTCCTCACACCATTGTAAGAACTTAAAGGGCTTCAGTATGAGGATAACCAATCTGTGTTAGTGGCAGAAATATTCTTCGTTGTGAGCTGTTCCAGAGAATAACAAGCATAATAAAAATACAACTGCTATGCTGAGTTTGAGGCTCCCAAATCAATATTTTGTTCAGCTGCGAAGTAAACATCATACTGTTAGATCACTTAAGACAGAACCAAGGCAGCATGTTTGCATTTTTCAGCACCTGGTTTGATTAGGCTTCAACACTTAAGAACTGAATACACACAACAAGCACTGTGTAAACTCCATGGAGTGCCTGAACAAAAGTCCTGGACAAAGATTCTCCAGAGGTGGTTGGTTCCCTAAAATACAGATATCTTGACAGCCTGAGGCATTTGTGCTAAGAAAAATTGGTTTCTGCATTTCAGATGCAGCTGCTCACATTTCATTATTTTTTATTAGGTGCATGTCCCATCCTATTGACCAAATAAGAGGTAAATAACCTCTCTGGCAATATTGCATTAAAGGCTTATACTTTGAACCATTCCTTGCAAAGCCTCCCTACAGTTGCGTGTAGATACAATTACCTTAACATTTATTTATGGATTGTACATGCAGGTAATCCACACTTGTGGAATTTATTTATTTAACAATATCAGTATGCTGGTCTAATCCCTAGAGTTTCTGGGTAACAGAAAACTGTACATCTGTTCTAATATCGGACCAGTGTTTGCCAGTTTTAAGGCCGCCCTCCTTTGAAGCAATGAGCTTCAAACACTGTAACAGATGAACATAAAATCCATCTTTCACAAGACTGTAGTCAACACATTTAATGCTGCTACATAAAATCTCTGTGAAGAAAGCCTTTCCCCTTCTTATAAGAGGAAGAAAATCAAAGCTTTGGTGAAATGATATATTATCTAATTTAGATCAAAGATATTCTCTATTACCAGAGGCTATGCTTGCAAGAATAAGAAACTGATGAACAAATTTGGGACCATACATGGCAGATAATGTCAATGAAGGCATTAGGTCTTCCACAACCCAGAAAATTGCTTCAAGATATTGCTGTCCTTTCAAATGGTGGTTGCTTTGCTAGCGAATTCAGGCTGTCCCTGGTCATTTTTTAAACAGTATTTATTTTGGCCATTGGTCAGAAATGCAAAAACACAAATATAAGTAATCAACACCTCGTGGTTTGTTTGTTTTTAGCAATTTCAACAAATTGACAAGCCCTGTCTGGTGGTATCTGGTGAAATAAAAAAGGAGGGATTCCGACAAGCAGAAGTGTGAGAAAAGACAACCGGAGCTGCGTAACACTGACATTTTTATTAGAATTCATTTGTAACAAATGGAGCTTGTGTCAGCAAAGAACTGATTTCCATACAGACTTTCTTTCGCCACTAACGTAACGAAGTAAGAAAATAAAAAGCACGCCTTTCATTCTGTAAAACATTTACGCGTACTACTGATTAGAGGTAATTGTATTTTTTTTAACAAGCCATTTTACAAGGGTTTTTTTTTTGTTTTAATTTTTCAGTCTAGACATCCAAAACGAGAGCAGAGAACACAACTTGTATTATTTTTGTAAAGACACTCCAAGCCTGAATGGCAACGCCACATAACAAGATGGATGACGGGATCCTCAGCCCTCTGATAGTCTTTTGGAGTATCAGGGCTCTTAAAAATTAAAAGATTAAAACCAGAAGAGGGGGGAGAATTAAAAAAAAGGGGGGAAATCTGTGTTTCATTGTTGCCCCTGCAAACTTTCCCCCTCTTTTATCATGTTTTTGTGTTATTTACATACACACAAGTGGATTTTCATAATCGGTTTTCTTACAGATGGGTTCAAGTAATAATACTATTGGGTGTAGAATCAATAGGGCAGTGCATAGTACAAAGATATAGAAAGTGCATATCACCCTCCTTTGCCCATCCATCCTCACCAACGGCTAACCATGCAAACCATTTTTTTTTTAAAAAAGAGAGCTAAAATAAAAGTTCTGTACAAATAATTCTTATATAGTTTGTGTATTTGTCCGTCGTTAACTAATTACAAAATTATACATAACTACACATACATAGGTAAATAATAGCACCGTACTGATTATGCTGAGGAAACAAAATGCCAACTACGGTGAATGACAATTCACGAGACCGACTCGTTTAAAAAAAAGAGAGAAAGGAAATGAGAAGAAGAAAAATCACCACACCACAAAGAAACCCAAATGGAATGCACATCAATGATTTGGATAGAAATCTCTTTAGAAGCAACTCCAGAATAGTCACTTGGAGAGGACTGGCTATTTATTTGGCAGCTTTTCGGTGTCACGCTTGCCCTTCCTACTAGTTTAGCTTATCAACTTCTTTTACAAAACAAATGATTGTTGGAAAAAGGCTGGCCCTGATCTGTAGTGAGCCACCTTAAAAGGCATGTCTGTACAAGATGTCGACAGATAGGACTGGGGCACAATTGGAGTCCTCCTAGACCAGGGGTGTCAAACTCGCGGTGTGTCATGTGACATATTGCAACTCCCCCCCCCTTGCTAAACCAGGGGTGGGCATGGCCAGTATGTGAAGCATCTGGTCTACGGACCGAGAGTTTGACCCCAGTTCTGGACTCATGGCCTCTGTAGGGATGGTAGAAGGCAACTTTGCACGGATCCATCTTGTGCACCAATTGCGCCCTGTCCTGGACCAGGTCTTGCTCTTGCTCACGTATGCTTGATTGCTCCCTAAGTCTCCACATCCTTCTCCCATTCCTTGCTGACAACTATACCCATGATTACTAACTCTTTTGCGTCCCAGTTTTTGCAAGGTCCCAACCGATCCACGTCACATGGTCCTGCTCTTTGGGGGAAAATTCTATTGCTGTGGCCTTTGGAGGTTTGTGCTTGAATTTAAGCCAATTCACCCAAAGCGCTTGTGCAGCAGTGCCTCTCCAGCATCGTTGGACGGCACATCAATCTGTCGAGCCATCCTTTTGATTGAAAGTGTGAATTCCGTATGTAGCCTGGCCCTTTTTTATTTATTTTTGACAGAAACAAATCAAAAGGAAACATGCAGTGCACACATTCATGTTGGATTTTGATGTAGAATTAAAGAATCTCACTCTGAGGTAGCCTTCTATAATGCTTATTTAAAAACTATTATACATATGTATGTGGATTTTTTTTGTTTTTTTGCGCTTTTTAATTGATATTCTTAAAATATATATATATATATATAAAAGTGCTCAAATAGAATGCTTTCTAGTGTTTGGTCTTTTAATATATTTATTTCTGGTAATGGTGGAAAACATGGAAAAATAAATGCTAATGTAATGCTTTTCTTTATGGAAACTAAAAAGATTTCTTTGTGATCTATAGTTCGATCAAATATGGCACCAGGTTGACCTAGCCCAATACAAGAAACAATGGCTTCTGTTCAACTGGCACAATCCATTTCTTCAGATGTCATGAGACAATACCACTGTAAGTCCTTTGTCCAATCCAGCTGATCTCAGGAGCCCTCCTAGCTTGAGTTAAAAGAACCTGTTGTGGCCTTCAGTTAAATTCACATACATGAAACCTAAACCCAGTCAAATTGCCATTCCTAAAGTATTAGGAGTATTTTATTATATTTTTTTAGAATAGCAGCATGTCTATAAAACAAAACAAAAGAAAATTATAGTTATGAATGCCAGCTGCGGGCATTTCTGAAATAGTTTGCCGGTGCCTACAGGGTGCCTGACTACCCTCTGCTTATGAATTAAAAAAAAATATCAATAGTGAAAACTTGGAATGAATATTGTTAAGAAAAACTTCACATGTTGTGCTCATTGAAAAAAAAAAGGATTGATGTAAAATCACAGAGATCCTGTTGGAGCAAACATAGACCAAAAAAATATATATGAAGCAATGCTATCAAAATAGGCATCAAATATAAGGCACTCTAAATGCAAAAATTAAAACTGAAAAAACAGCATTTTTTAACTGTTGCTGTATGCCAGAAAATATTCTGACCTACCAAGCAACGTGTGTTTGGCTTTGCCCCATGATATGTCGTCATTCCAAATATCTTATTCTATACTGCAGACAATTTTATAAGTGGATACATTTAAAAACCTTGACAATTATAGCATTTTCCTTCCATTAGGGATATGCACTGACCTCCTTCGTATGTTACTTCCTATACTTATTATGGATGCTATTGCATTAAAAATTTCCAAATATGAAATCTCACTGAGAGCTATAACATGATATGCAATGCAATCCCTAAGCAGGTTTTATTTAGAAGTAAGTCCCATTGAGTTAATGGGCCTTCTCTTCTAATAACGGTGAATCAAACCTTAATGTGCATGGGTGATGAATGATGTGTGTGCACATGATTTCTACCCATTAGATTTGGGTAAGGTTGAATTTCAAGTATCACTGATGTGCATTCCTCATTTCCCCTAGGAAATTGAAAAGAAAGCAAAACAAAAAGATAAAATAAACACAAATCCCTCAAAAGCAAACCTCGAAATGCAGAGATGTGTAGAAATATTGTATGGTCTGAATGTATCAATTTGGATTTTCCCCCAACTACTTCAACAAATCCAAGTCATGGAAGAACTGATACATGTATATTTATATTTATATATTTATATTTATGTGCATTTCTTTCTGTCTATCTACGTATTATTGTTGTAGATGGATAGAGAGAGAATGAGAGAGATATACATATATTTATAATAGAAAGAGAAACGTGTGAGTGTTAGTAGCAGCTTTATACTTGCGCTTCCCTGTTGATTCCCAAAGAAATAAAAACAAAATCTCCCATATGTAGATTAACTGGTTTATATTTCACTGAAAAAAAATCAAATGTAAAAGCAATATCTAAATGAGAATGTGGTCCTGGAGATAAATATAGGGCTGCACAAAAATGTGCAAATTGTCAAAATTATTTAACATTTCTACAGCGAGATATTACAGGTAACAGTTCTACAGCATAAAAAAAAACTACAATTCAGAAACAAACAAAAAAAATTGAACAGGTATGCAATTTTTGTTTGAATTTACTTCATTGAATGATAAACCTTTGTTGTTGTTTTTTTAAAAAAGGAAAAAGTTTACACAGTTAAAAATGAAGCACAGGTCAGCAGTATCTTTACAATACTAGAAAACTAAATCAAGGACTTTCTTTTCAAACATTTGCCCTTTGCCCTCCCAACCCCAAAGGTTACTGATGAGCAATATGGCGGGAAGGGGGGTATGTTGGAACCAAGAGATGGTTTTGTTCTGGAGCAGCCGGGACAGGCCTCCTGACGAACATCTGGTGCTGAATTGCAGAAACCTAATGATGGCATCGTTCATTATCATGCGGTCCTGAACGAGATGATCGTCCTTGGAAGGAATGTCCTCTTCCTTTTCATTCAAATTCAATCAAAACAGAATCTTGGGATCTCTATAACCGAAATCCTTCCGGTGCCTCAACCTAGTCACGTTTCTTTAATTATGTTTCTGGTTAAGTTTACTGATGACTGAATTGTTGATTCACCCGGCAGTTTTTTTTTTCTCCTGTTAATATTTCCCACTAATTGGTCTTTAATTTAAAGTTAAGTACTTCTCAAGCACACTGTATGGCTCAGAAGAGGCTCTCTGGATCTTAAAGGGCCTGTAGTTAACAATCCAGAATGGGTCAGCGTTTTTCCACTTGTTTTTACGTTGCATAGTGATCAAAGCTGCCCAGATATTCTAGTGCAGCTCGATAGCAGAATTGATACTGATCCTTGGGAAAGAGAGAGGAAGGAAGAGAGAGAGAGAGAAATTTGGGTTGAAATAAATACATTTGCTCAGCTAAAATACATTGAAAATTTTCTAATCCTTATTAAGAGAACAGAAATAAGGAGTTTCTTTCTGTATTTACACAAGCTCTGTGTTCCCTTACCTTTTATAGGAGATCAAGATAATTTTGGCTTAAAAGCTAATCAGAGTGGCTATTTGTGTCTAAACAAAAATCCTTGGCCCAGAATTTGTATCTCCCTAACAAGATACATATAAATGTGATGTATATGCTTAACATTCCTGTTCGTGGTAGCCACTAAAGAACTCCATCTGAATTATGGAATTAGAGAGTAGAAAGGGAGATTGACATCTAATCCATAGGCTTTCAGCTCTACAAGAAAATCTGGTACCAGGTAGTTTAGGTAGAATGTCACAAGTAGAATGTTCAACCGGTGCCTTAAGTCATCCCTCCAGCAAGTGATTCATTGTTTTTTTAGGTAGACTAGCTCAAAGCCAGGCTCTCCAGCCCTTTTTGGTGTAATCTTAATTGCAGAAAACACAAAAAACAGCAACAGGAAGGCCCTATGCATCTTGTTGCACCCTTGTGCTCCTGAAAGAGAATATCTCACTAGATTGACTAATCACTTTCAAACAAATCACTGAAAGAAGATAACCTAGGGTAGTTGACTCTGAAGGGATATTTTTAATTGAGTCTTTTAACTCTAAACCAATTTGGTCTAGTTGTTAAGGCAGCAGGCAAAAAAAGTGGGAGACCACCTGAGCCACGCAAGTCAGCTGGGTGAGCTTGGACCAGTCATTCTCTGCCCAAATCACATCACAGGGTTGTTGTTGTGGGGAAAATAAGAGGAGGAAGGTGTGTTGAATAAGTTCACCACTTTGAACTTAATAGTAAATGCACAGAGTATCTTTTCCCTTTTTTCCTTTAATTATTTTTAATATTTAACCTTTGATAAATTTCTTATTTCTTTTCTTTTTCATCTATCTATCTATCTGTCTGTCTATCTGTCTATCTATCTATCTATCTATCTATCTATCTATCTATCTATCTATCTATCTATCTATCCCAGCCTGTCTATCTATCATCTATCTACCATCTCTCTCACATGAAGTAATTATTTAATGAAGACCTCAGTACTAGATAACTAGCTCATGACTACTGTACAAAAATTATTTTGATGTAATCAGTAGTATTTTTTCCTTAATATTATATTTAATCTTGTATGGAGAATTTCTAATAATTTTATGCTTGTAACATCCTTAACTGTAATTAACATTGACAGAACATTTTTTTTCCTTTATATTTAAAATTCTAAATTATCCAACCAATAGAATCTCAATAACTTTAATTAATACTGTATAAATATCTTTGTCCCAAAACAACATAAGGCATTAAGATATATAACAAGATAATGAAAAGGAAAACATTATCATCCCTTAGCAGTGTGGTACTTCTTCATTTTATCAATTGTTAGCTTTACAGCCTCCTTTTCTTCTCCCTCTTGCCCTAAGCTGCCCCCTTCTCTGCAGCAACAGATTTTTGTTGAATCCAAAGTAAAGTAAGGGAGAGGATCTTTTGGCTGCTATTGTGAAAACAATGTGTGAGTTAAGAGAAAGCAATGGTGAGTCTAGAGAGCAAGGATTGGGGAGGGGGGGCCTAGTTTTAAACCCCAGAACATTTATGGCTTTTTAAATAAGAAACAAAAATGCAGGGCCCTGCCATGTCTCCTTCAGGGAGAACAGAACCTCCCAAATAATTAGGAATTCGGACAAAGCATGGATTTCCATCACACAAGGGCCTTTATGTAAATGCAAGGGGACCCAATCCTCTGCAGATATTTGGGCTCAAGCTAGGAGATTCAGAAAATTTGCACCAGTTTATTCAACCTTCAATCATATTTATTTATTGAATTTATATATTGCCTTTATTGTTTTTACAAACAACTCAAAGCGATAAACATCTAATATTCCTTTCTCCTCCTAATTTTCCCAAAACAACAACCCTGTGAGGTAAATTGGGCTGAGAGAGTGTGACTGGTCACCCAGCTGGCTTTCTTGGCAAAGGTGTGACTTGAACTCATGGTCTCCTGCTTTCTAGCCTGGTATCTTAATCACTAGACCCTGGGAAATTGCAGTGAACAACTGGGTGATAGTGAAACCACCTCCAGTTGCTATCCTTTTAGTCCCCAATGAAGAACTAAATAAAGATGTGCTACTATTCTTTTCTTCTCATCCTGCCTTATATTTCAAGGAAAGTCTTCATTGCTTAAAGCATCCTTCAATGAAAGAATGAAAATATTTGTAAGCTTCTATATTAGATTACATTACAAAATATAAATAGCAAATAGCAAATAAAGATATATATTTGATCATTACTATATTCATGTATATACAGATGTATGTGTGTGTATGTAGAAAACTGTTTTTCTCACCTCTGTCTGTACCATGGCTGGCCGCTGCGTCCTTAACATTTTGACAGTCTGGAAAATATCTACAACACCTTCATATCTCATTCGTTCCAACACAATGCTTAAGGTTATGAACACTCCAGTTCTTCCAACACCCGCACTAGGAAGGAAGGAAGGAAGGAAGGAAGGAAGGAAGGAAGGAAGGAAGGAAAATTTAGTTGAAGGCTAAACTGTGGATGGAATATAGTTTATAGGTACAAGTTCCATATATGAACTGAACATGTAAATCACATCCTTGCAACGTGACTATTTTCTGCTAAACCAAATAGTAATTGTAACTGAAATTCTGAATTATTTGAAGAATCTCAGTTTTTGAGTAGGAGTAGATAATGAAAACTAGGAGACCTTTATCAACAGAGATAATTGAAAACCATTTTTTAAACCATACACCTGCAAATACTACTGATAGCAGAAGAACTACTTTTAGTTAAAAGATGACACATAGATTGTGCTTTGAAAGTATTTTGAGAAAGCCCTTTTTCTAGTACCTATTAAAAGATTAGCATTATTGGATGTTGGATAGTTCTTCCAAATTATTGTATCAAACTCCTGACCTAACCGTATGACAACATGGCTAATAATGCAAAAAATATTAATTAACTGAAAACATACGTTACAATCTCATGGGATAAAATCTTGGAATGCTCAGATCAAAATAATGATTTCAAGTTATTACTGTTTATTTTAAATGGAAAGAAAATAAAAGCAGGATTTTTCCTTGCTTCAAACCAGACAAGGAAGGATGGAAGGAAGGAAGGATGTCAATAATTAAAATAAAATGAAGAACAAATGTTACAATTACTCTTTCCTCTTTTTTCTTACAAGAAATCTATTAGGGGGATTATACTGTATAAACAGTTGTATTGTAGATACCTTTTTTTGAACTGTACAAATAATCTAGGAAAGTGAACACTTTTGCTATGATAAGAGGTTTTCAGCTAATGATTTTCTTAATCTCTGTTTCTCTCTCTGATTACATGCCATGAATTATCAGTATGTATTTACTTTTAGTGATCTACTATTTCTGCAGGATAATCCATCCCCAACGATATCCTTCGGATTTTGCAATGGTGTACCCATTGATCTTTGAGTCCAATTGAGTCCATCCAGCTTTTTGCTGGTTCTCTTTTTTCTCTTTCTTGCCATTTTTCCTGGATACATATGCACAGACACTCATACATAACTGTATGAAGAAATGCGAGTGCAAATTGGACAAAGGTCCATCCTAAAAAGGACGCACATGCTGGAAACATGACACATTCATGTATGTGAAATAAAAAATTGGGACTCTGTGGCGCACTTTATCATTTGGGGCATCGGTGATACAACTTGCCATTTATATGTTGATTATGAATTTATGTCTTCAAGTTAACTAAACTGGATCAGTACTTATCTTTTACTCTGTCAAAAGATGGTTTTACAGAACTAATCCTTTAATCATAGTATCTGATTTATAAGGCTGGTGTACTTTTTGGAAGGATACAAAAATAAATTTTCTTCCTACTATTCACATCTGATACATATTAGTTTGCTATGTATTCCTCCCATTGACTCAATTCTTTGGATTATTAGCTTTTCCTTCCATGTACAGAAGACATAGATATGAAGTCATATCACAGCGCCTAAATCAATGTTTTGGAACAAATTATGGGGGCAGGCATTCTTTCTATGGGTGCAGAATTGCTGTACACATTTTGTAAATACCGGGAGAGAGATTATCTTTATCCTGCAGTTCCTGAGTATCTCTATGGCCATTTCTGTCCATTTTTATACAGCTGATAATATTTTATCTTCTACTTTTGTTCTTCTACTTTTGTTCTTGCCTAGTCTTTCACAAAGACTCAACATTAGAGTTCTATAGTCCCATAAGGAAGAATCAAGCTGCAGAATTGCCAGAACTGGAAAATGGGGGTTACATTGTATAAATTTTGCATTTCTTTCCATTGGGCTGCACGCACTTTTACTGAACATATGATTATCAAATTAAAACATTAGTTTTGCAATCCATAAAGCAAATTGATCAAATAAAGACAAAATATTACAATTATGGTAATCTTTATTACAGTCATTGAACAGTCCGTGAGCAAAACACGTCCTTAAGTATTCTATAGGATTGTATTTTAAAAATGTTCCCCGTCTTGTTTGTTTATATTCAACAAAACAATGAATATTATTTTTCTAAGCTTACTAGAGAAAATAATTGTCAGCTACTACAACCTTTTGCTTCACACAGGGATTTGTAGGACTATTAGCAGCAGCATTACTGACAGATGACTCTCTGAACTCCAGTTAAATTCCAGTAGAAGAAAATATGTTTTCTCCTGCCCCCCTGGGACTGCAAGGGTCAATTTTGCTGTTTATTGTCATACTTCTTAGATGAGGAATGAAAACTGTCAGATAATGGCTTGAATAAGGTCACACTGTCAGCTCAATGCTGACATGACATTTGAACCACTTCGTATTTGCTTCCCCATGCCTATATTTCTACTTCGGCATGTTATTACCATCATTAAACTTGTCATTTTAATCAGACAAACAATATTTAGCATCTGTGTTACTTTCTCTTACCTACAGTGAACCGAAATTGGCCCGTCTTGTCCAAACTGCTCTTTTGTTTTATGAACTTGGCCAATGAAGTCTATAAACCCTTCTCCCGATTTTGGCACTCCTTGTTCAGGCCAGTCAGTAAACTGGAATTGCCTCACTGTTCGGGACTGGCCATCCTTGAATAAAAAGCAGACATATCAGATGGAAAGTACAGCAGAAGATAAGATGTTTAACATTGCTTTTTAGATTTTGTGATCGTATATCGACAAGGAAAGTGACCTGCAATAAAATGAAGATAGCTTTCCTGCAGTCTAACTGCAGTCATGATGAAGTTTGCCTTTTGCTCCTTTTTTTGCCATTAACAAAACCACAGTGACACAAGAGTGCAATTTCATTAACCACAATGATGCTCAAATTATTCTCTGCCCTGGAGAGGCTGTTTCTGACATTTAAATCCTGGAAAAGCAAAAATCTGCAGGCAGGGAAACAGGACTGGAGGAAACTTGATTTTGAAGCGATACCAACAAACACAAAAACATCTTTGTCTATGGGTCAGTATTATGTCCTCCTCCTTATCCCTTTAAATATATTCCTTTGTTGGCCTAGCCAAGCCACTTCAATGTTTATGGAAAGGATTCTTTTGTTACCAATTGGTCTTCATGTTAATTCTTTCTTTCTACATACCGTCTATTTCTCTATCAAAGCAGCATGAAAATAATAGTGAAGCCAGCCTAACGTACTAAAGCATATTCTTATTAAGCAATTGCCGAAATTGCAATTCTGGATCTATCTCATAAACCGAGATTTGAAGAAACTTCTTTGTAGGCAGACAACAGAAAACAAAGAGAACTCGTATAATTCAAGCTAGCCTTGTAAAATTAACATCGTTATTCAAGCATCTCCATGCATATATCTACCGGTAACAATTTCAGGCATTCTGATATCATGAAAAATATAAAAAATACCAACTTCCTTCTTCCAGCTGACAGAAGCCTTAGTAAATGGCTTCTTGGAGGCAGTTCAAATTTGCCACAAGTGAGTGGTTCTTTATAGCCTAGTCTTTTGATTAGTATTGTAAAACATAAGTACATAATAGTGGCCTTTGTGACATGGACACCTGCCTAATTAGGGCTGTCTTTACATGTCTCACTTTCTAACCATCCACAGGGCTGCTATCATTTTTGATCTCCATAAAATCAATTAAGTGACCCAGCAATGTGAACTAGATCTTATCAAAATGAAGACATCAAGTCCTTTATAATTTGTAGCATTGCCCTGGAAAAAGTAATGGTTATAGTAATTGGCAGCAAGAGAACGGATTATGTATCAAAGGATTTGATCAACCTGCCTCAACTGCTGTGCTGACTTGTCTTTGTATATTGTCAGACTATCAAAACTGACATTTAATAGAAATGACACAAATTGAACTATTGCTATTAACCTTCATGCCTTCTGGATACCTTCTACATTCTGAATGCATCCACTTTCTAGCCATGGTAGGAGAATCTGCAGATGCCGTGTCAGTGTGCCTACAAGCTATAATTGAGGCATGGTGCACAAGAGAAGGACAGGGAAACTATTGCTAGATGCCAATTGCTTAAAATGGTACTTTCTACAGAATGAAACCAATGAAGAATCTCAGTGATGAACGGGAATTCTTATAAAGCAGATTGGAAGCTGGAGGCAAAGGGGACAAAAAAAAAGCATTCTCGTACCAAAGTTGATTGCCTTGACACAGAGGTGAATATAACTTGCCTCAAATAGAAAAGCAACACAAAAATGATCACTTGCACTTTGTGTCATTATTATTCAAATTCTGCAGAACGTTATTCAGCAACAACATGTAGATGGAAAGGACGCCATTATATTTCTGTAATCAGTAGAGCCTAATGAAATATGAGAAGTGTTTCTGATTCTGAGGAATAGTTTAGGTGAATTTGATGGCTAACTTGGTACTATCATCTTTGGACAAATTCTCAGACCTCAAAAACCCAGAGTAACAATCTCTCCATCTTTAATTACTTGGTTTTTTTCAAAAAAATACTTTTGTGGTGCCTGTAAATTAGCACAAGCACATAGGAAATAAACATCGTTCTTCTCACTAATGATGAGAAATTAGGTCCTGAAATTCAATGAGTTGCTAGCTTTTAATAGTCACCTCCCCAAAATGCCAAGATTAGATTAATTAATTCAGATGAGATTCTCTAGAGCTATTCTGAAGTCTAATTCTACCTGACTCTTTGACTTATGAAGCACTGTAAGCAACAGGAAAAAAATAACTGCATATTATTGCTATATTACTAGCAATATTAACAATGTGCACACATCCCTGATTCTGTTTGATATCTAATCTGATGAACTTTATTTGGATTTGGGTTCTGTTACTATGGCCAATGGAAGGCCTTTGGAACAGACTATACAAATGACAGAAAGTGCTTTACTATTAAAATATTGTGTGTAGCTCCTCCAATTTACTGATCCTGACTTCTCACAGGAAATGTTAGGTGTAAACAAGTGGGAAGTTATGTTTAAATTTTCCCAAGAAATACAGACTGCATCACGGAGCTAATACAAAAGTTCCACTTTAGATGAAACTATTTTCACAATGGCATTATATTCTTCAGTTATCACAGCTGAAAGAAAAAAAAGACAATTCAATTTCACAGGAGTTTTGTTGCTATTTGCAACACATGCACAAATCAGAATAATGAGCCCAACCATGGTGTATATTGCTTTATGTTGATCCTTTAAGTTTATGCAGGGTTTTGTCCATCTCATGATCCATGTTGTGCAAATAGTGAAGGCTATTGTCAATGCCTAACTCTAGAATGGCAAGTAGAGGCTTGAAATTGACTGAATAATTCTTGTAAGAAAAATCCACAAAATCAGAATGTGACAGAAGAAAATTTCCAAGGGTTGGAAAAAGGTATAGTCATTGTTGCACTTCCCTCAGAATTGAAAGTGCAGAATAATTACATCACCACGGTTAATTTCACTTTTCTTATCACAGAATTTTAGTTACTTACTTTAGTGTAAAATTGAGGATAAATGTGGCTAATCTTTTGGAATGAAATCCATTTTAATCTAGTAAAACTCCATATGTAAAGAATGGGTGAAATATGCATGTAATGACCCTTTCTGGGCAGCTTTTTACATAAAGACATATGTGTTAGGAGGATTGGAAAAACTTCCATTCAGAACTTTGAACTGGGCATGATTAGATTAAATCATTACCGTCAATCTTGAATCTTCAGTTTTAAAGCCTTCAAATTACTTTTGCAATTCAATGGCCTTTGGCACATGCACACCTATACGTTTATCAAATAGCATTAACTAAATCTGCAGATCCCAAAATGTCAACAGCTTTGTAGAATAACTTTTAATATGGTCTGGACATTCAATAGTGCTCCAGCTGCAGTTAGTATCCCAAATGCAATACTTTACATTCTCCCACAAAAGCCTAGTCTAACAAGGAAAATGGAGAGTTATACTCTACAAAATACAGATATTAAATCAGGTTAAATTGTAACTGGATGGCCACATCCTAAGTTCTGCTGAGAATATTTTCTGAATTTATACAGATACATTCTCCATAGGAAGCACGATGTGCTGCTATCCTTACTACTAATTTGGGGGAAGGTGATAAAATAGGTCTGCATGAATTGATTTCTTAATGTCAGGAGGCATGTACAAAAGGTACAAAAATCTCATGACATTGGGATCTGCCTTTCTGAGCTAGTTTTCACAGTGTGGTCCAGTCAGGTTGGCTTCAATCTCAGGAGTGTGCAATGCCCATTGATTGTATCCTGCTTTGCACGGATGCAGAGGTCCAAAAATGGATGGGACACTGTCCATTTGGGAAGAAGCTTTATGAATTTTATAGGAGTTAAAATGGGTTTCAAAAGTGTTTTTTTTTTTCCTTCCAAAAGGCAACTGGACTATTTTTTTTTCCTTGAGGGAGAAGAACAAAATGTTTCATTTCTCAGCCAAGAACCTTCATCAGTTGTGATGAAAAGTGCGGGGGAGAGATAGAGTACTGACAATTGAGACTGGGTAGTGGGAGATGGAAGAATAGGTTCTGACTGGCTGGTGGGGGGGAGAAAGGGATGGAAGGATTGTATTTCTTGCAATTGTCTGCAAGAAATACAACACTTCCTTCCTACCACCACCCACTTTTTAGGAAAAAAAGCACTTTTGAGAAAATCGACCTGGATGACTCAGCATCTCCACAGAGTAAAATGGGTATTTTCATTGGCTGTAAGGCTTCATTCATTAAAGCCTTCAAACTAATGCCTTAAAATGGATTCCAGATTTGGTCACCATTCCGTAGGGCTATCACAAAAGGGAGGCTGAAGGCCATATGTGAGCTCCAAATTACATTTTTTCCACTCCTTATTAAAGCTTTCCAACAATGGAGTTCTCACATCAAATGACTTTCCAACAATGGAGTTCTCATATCAAATAAGCTAAGCGCCAGAGCTCACTGTAACAGCATTGCCAAAAAGGCATTAAGAGTTGTAAATCTAATCTTATGAAGCTTCTCCTCTGGAAATATCGAATTGCTAACTAGAGCATACCAAACTTTTACCAGACCAATACTCGAATACAGCTCATCAGCCTGGAATCCTCACTGCATATTGGACATTAATACAATCGAGCGAGTCCAGAAGTATTTCACTAGAAGAGTACTACATTCCTCTGCTTGCAACAGAATACCCAATATCACCAGGCTTGAGATTTTGGGCTTGGATAACCTTGAACTACGCTGCCTATGGTTAGACTTAAGCGTAGTACACAAAATCATCTGCTACAATGTCCTACCAGTCAATGACTACTTCAGCTTCAACCTCAACAATACAAGAGCACACAACAGATACAAACTCAATGTAAACCGCTTCAAACTCAATTGCAGAAAGTACGACTTCAGCAATGCAGTGGTCAATGCCTGGAATGCACTACCTGACTCTGTTGTTACATCCTCTAACCCCCACTCCTTTAACCTCAAACTATCCACTATTGATCTCACACCATTCCTAAGAGGTCTGTAAGGGGCGTGCATAAGTGCACCCTCGTGCCTACCGTCCCTGTCCTATTGTCCCCATTTATTCGTACCTATTTCCTGTATTCTTACTCATGTTTATACTTTTATCTATTATCTTGTAAGCGATTGACAAATCAAATAAATAAATAAAAAATAAAATAAATCTACATAAGCATACTCTAAAAGTTGTTTTATCAACAATTAATTCTCTTTGTAGTGGGTCCCCTAAATGTTATCTCAATAGTAATAATATTTTATATTCATGCAATATCTTTCAGGTGATCCGAATGACTTTAATGTATAATTTCAGTAACAGAAGACACTCAAATATTTGACTGTAATAGCGTATTTCACTGCAAACTTCCATTGCAACTGCCACTACAAAATATGTAATCACCACTTGCAAAACCTTGTAATGGGATGTCTATCCAAAAGATTGATTTCATTTTATTTTTAGGGCAATGAGGACTGAAATCTTTTTTTTAAAAAAAAAAACAAAGCTAATTTAAACACGTTGAATGAGAACTTATTTTAACGAGAGAATGAAGTAGATTGAAACTAGGTTTCAATGCTGAGATAAATAAATCCAACCTTGATTAAAGTCATTGGGGCCTTATTCTACAGCAGGGGTGTCAAACTCGATTTCATTGAGGGCTGCATCGGGATTGTGTTTCACCTTGGGGGGCTGGGGTGTGCATGGCCAGGATAGGTGTGGCTAGCTCAACATCACTCGTGTTGGAGCTCCAGTGGTGGCCCGAGCACTCCACCAGCTTAAACGGGCTCCCAAGCTCCATTTTTGCCTGCAACAGTCTCCTGTAACCCTCTGCCAGCAAAAAGGGCCGCCCACAGCCATCATATGTTGTTTTCTGCTGCGACGGCCTCCTGCAACTCTCTGCCAGCGAAAGTAAAGCTCCGGAGGGCCACCTGTGGCCCTCTGGAGCTCCATTTTCGCTGGCAGAGGCAACATGGGCCAACCCTTTGCTCTTTCCAGAGCAGCCCCGCGGGCCGGATCTAAGCACCCTGTGGGTCTTGAGTTTGACACCCCTGTTCTACAGTAACTACCTATGTGAAAATCTCTCCACTGAAATGAACAGACATCAAAAGCTTGGTTTTGGCTAAGGGACTTCTTATTCCTTTTGCCAACCAAAACTCTATTCTCTGAGCTTGAAATGGTGGCTGGAGATTTCTTTAGGTCAACATTAACAAAAATACTAATAGGATTTTTGTTTTTGTTTTGAGGCAAAGAAACTGGAAATTGAGGATTCCTTGCAAGCAGAATATTCTGGTCTGTTTCTCGAATCATCATTATTACTACAGGGCTTCCAGAGATAGAGAAAGGTAAGGATTTATCCTGCCATCATGTGTGAAGTATTACATCCAAATCACAGCTTGAGAATGGCTAGAGCAGGGTCTATAAAAATGTTTATATACAGTTAATCTTATATCAGCGATGAACCTTTGACTTAGCCTTTCAAGATAAGAAACGTAAAATGAAAATTAGCCAGTTGGGGTCACGGCATTGTAGCTCTTCTCTGCAGACAGATTAGAAAGCTGAGGAATAAGCTATGCCAAGAATCAAATTACAATGTGCAAGGCATGTCAAGCTTCCCTTAAGAATGCTATTTGCTCTGCGGATTTTAAATCACACCACATTAACCTTCAGGCTTACATGACCTAAGGGCTGTTGCTGAACAGTAACATCTTTGCGGTCTTGGATAAAAATTCCTTTAAAAAAAAAAGTACAGAATAATAAGCCTCACTGAGGAAAACGGTGGAAAGGACGAATAGTAACTAGGACTTTTAATCAGTCAATCTCTTTCCAGACCTAAACATTACATGTTCTTTTTCACACTGTTGCGCTGATCAAATACTATGAATGAGAATCATTCATTTTTCTAAAATACTTCAGTGTTTTGGAAATTGCTGAACTGCCTCAAGCTGAATCTTGACCATTTTAAAACAGTAACTGTACGGTTTGAGATTAGAAAGCCCAATATTATAGTGCTGCCAGTCTTTCTTTTACATTAAGTAGTGGCAGTGCTGGATCCGTTTTATTGTGTCCCAGGGCCTTTGGCTCCTGAAATAAAGTACTAGTCTAATTTATTTCCCTCATCCCAGATGTGCTTCAGTATGTTCCCTTCTACTTATTCATCGATGTGTCTAACACAAGTAGTGAGATTCTTTCATATGTATCAGGATAGGATTGAAAAAAAAATATGCTGAAAGAGATGAAAGACCTAGAAGCTAAAATGGTTCAAATCCTGAGGGATTTTTTTTCCACTTTCCTTAAAGAATCTGCATCCTGATTCGCAGCTCTGGGATGCTCTTGGATTCATCACTGTCTGGTGAACTACAGATAATGGCTGTGACCTGGCTTCTCTCTGGTTGTAAATCATCTGCAACTATCTGGAGTAGGGGCCTCCAACCTTGGCAATTTTAAGACATGTGGACTTCAACTCCCAGAATTCTGGGAATTGAAGTCCACATGTCTTAAAATTGCCAAGGTTGGAGGCCCCTGATCTGGAGTATGGTGTACAAAGTATGGGCTCTGTAGTTTCCTCCAGAACGCATTTCTGAAATATGCTCTGCACTGGATTGTCTTCCAAGAAGAATTGAAACTACAGCTGGAATCAACCGAATCATATAGATGCAGATGCGTCTCAAGGAGTCTAAATATTTAACTCCACATAGGCTGTAATAAGTTTTAACTGTCCAAAATCCTAAATGACTTGGGGCCAGGTTTTGAGAGGATAGCTTTCATTCAGTTCATACTGCTTTAAAATTGATCTCAGTAATCATTTTCAAATATCTAATGTTAAAACTGTCCAGGCTGGCGTGCACAGAATATGGTGACTATCAGTGGGGATCCCTAAAACCATGGAATTGCTTTCCCATTGATTTTTGCTTCATCTGTTGTCTTCTCCCTAGTATCGCTTTTGATCAACATCTGAATTAAATTATATACTACAGAACATTTTTTCTCTTTTTTTTTTTTTGGTTCTTTTTACTAATGTCACTTTTATGATTTACTTCTATGCGGACGTTGCTTTAGCAATATGAAGGAAGAAATAAATGCATTTTCTTGACAACATCTTGTTAGTTTTTCCGAGATGAACAAAAGATGGGGTCCCATATTCTCCCCCACCAACTCCCTTCTGTTTCCAAGGCTGGCATAATTCTTCCCCCGTTCCAGAACGAACTGGCCAAACTAGGGCATGCCTCTTACTTTCTGTTTAGATATGCGGAATGCAGTTCTAATGATATGTGACTAGCTTACTGACCATGTGTGTTGGGGATCCAAAATATTTATATTCCTATGGGGATAATGATTATCACTGATCAGAGACTGGGACATCTGATTGCTGGTTATGTTTGAAAATACTGCTAGTAAAAGGCAAAACAAACATGCATAACAGCAAAATGTAGGACATTCATAATATGTTTGTCTTACCCGAGCGTCCGTGACCTTGAATTCTCTTAGGATGTATTGTGGCATATTATACTCTGCCATAGGATCAACCACAAAATATTGATATCTGGCTGAGCGCTCTGCTGGCCAATACTGGTGGCATTTTTCCTACAAAAGCAAAAAACTTTCAGTTTTTTGTTTAATTGATATTTCTGTCCAATTCTGTTTTCCGAGGAGGCATGCTTATTGTTATATTCAGAGTATTCCTGTTCTGAGGAAAAGGTTAAGCTTTAACACAGTTATTAGATTTGAAGGCTTGTTACATCAAAGTTTTGTGCTTCTCCTCATTTTCTGAATAGATTTTTTTTCTGGGAAGACCTCAGACACAAAGTTTTTCCCTAGCTCTTCAAAAGTTTAAACTCAATATTACATTTATTTAATGAATTAAGAAACCTCATTGTTTATTAGCAATTTTCCAAGCACATCTGTACTTCTTTTCCTTTTTAATGGGCTTTTTTTCCAGTTCAGATGGAAATATTCCAATAAAATGTGTTCATTTTCTTGACAAGTAATTCTTCATTCATGCAATGATTATTTCAAATGCTGCAATCAAATGAACAATGGGAAGGAATGATCAAGTAAATTAAATCCATTACTTTACTAACTCTTAAGTCTGGTTTACAAAAACGAACGAGGTATCTTTGAATCTGGGTATAACTCCTAGGACTTCCTGTAAAGTGACATATTATCAGCAGTCCATCTGTCAATGCTACTAATTTTGGTGTTAAATATATATCCTAGGAGTTCTATCATTTGAGATTAATTTCTGATTTTCAAAATTCATCTGCACTGACTGTTTGGGTTGATGTTCAGGAAATAATCTAGAAAATTATCTTAAAATATGTTCACATCAAGCATGTGGAAGCAATACAGATTTTAAAAGTACCACTAGATACACCAGAAAACCTACTGAAAACACTATTTGTATACACATTGACTTCATTATTTGAAGATCTGTTAATGATTATTGTTTTTGCTGTTATTATTGTTGTTATTTCTTCTGAATGCCTATTTGAAGATACTGATTCTCAAAGTCTTGATGATTTTATATGTAACTGGTATCCAATCCAATCTAATCCAAACCAAACCAATAGCTTAAATCAGCAGCTTTACTGGTTTCTACTTATATTATAAGAATCTGTCCAGATTGCTTGCTTTCCTCTGGGAACAAGCAGGTAAGGTTTCATGGATTTGGTGGAGGCATGGGGAGGTCAGACTTATGCCTCATCTGGCTGTGCAAGAATTCAAGGCTAATTCCCCACCTGACCCCTGCTTCTAGTCTGGTTGGCAGTTTCGGAAAAATCGGTTACTATAGTATTTTTCTACCTCAGTTCTGATGAAGACCAGAATAAGCAAATAATATTTTAGAACAAGAATTTGGGACAGAATGTGATAGTGAATTAAGAATTCCACAATACAATTGTTATAGGAAAGCAAAATATTGGCTGAAGGTTACACAGTTACAAAATAATTCTTCCTGGAAATACCTACATAGAGCAAACAAAGCTTAGAACTGCCTTTTGATGATGAATCTGAGGAATCTAGTTAACTCATATGGGAGGGCTGGACATTCAAATTCAATTGTTTCAAAGAAACACAGGCTGCAGTGGGAAGTAGGTGATAAACATAGATGCAGCTGAATCACACCTGTTTGAGGTTAGGATTTAGGGTTTTTTTGATTTGGAGTGAGGTTTGTAATTTTTAGATCTCAATTAAGCCTAGGCAGCCCGCCCCTCTTATATTATTCAACAGTTATCAAACTCTGTGGATACTAAATTGCAAAGTGGGTCAAACACCACACATAAAAGGATCAGGACTTTGCTTGCATTGCACGCTGGTTATTTTTACCCTGCTGGTGGATACCCCATTGCCAACGCCTTTTTTTCTCACCATTCTATGTTAATTTTACCACTCCAAGGAAGATTGGAAAGCTCTATGCTAGTTACGGGCTAGTTGGCTATTTTTGTCCCTTATCAAGCTATGTCTCAAAAATAAAATGCTATTGATTCTCTTAGACTGCCTGGCTGAATGTGCCTTTCATCAAAAGTACTTTCTGCATAAGAAGAGATCTATTCTTTTATCCTGACATGCTAATTTTCTGTGTATAGTAACACTCAGTAAAGTGAATCTTAATTGGCAGCCTGACTGACAAAGTGCAGTCATGGCCCTACGTTTACACCCCCAACTGCTCTTTGTGAGGGTAAAGGACTAAGCTTCTCTTGTGAATTAAATGTCTGCCTCCATTTATAACAGTATATCCCTGTAGAAGAAGCGCAAGCTATTTTGAAAGGAAATTTATGAAACATAAATGATGACAATTCTGTGAATGACACAGAAAACTTATATATATATGTGTTTGTGTGCAGAGGCAATGTTGGATTTATTTGCAGGTGGAAGTAAGCAGACACTGTATTTACACACACACACGCACACACACAGACACACACGCACACAGACACACACACACAGAGGGAGGGAGAGAGAGAGAGAGACTAATTCCACCTGCAAACAAATCTAACATTGACTCTGTTCAAGTGTAAAAGGGGTTAACCATTTGCTTTTCATTTTGCTTAGTGATAATTAGCAGTAGAAATACGTAGCATTCAGACTTAATATACCACTTCATAATGGTTTACAGCTCTCTCTAAGCAGTTTACGACGTCAGCATATCGCCCCCAATAATCTAGGCCCTCGTTTTACTGACCTCGGAAGGAAGGCTGGAAAGCTGAGTCAACCTTGAGTTGGTCAGAACTGAACACTTGGCAGTTGGCAGAATTAGCCTGCAATACTGCATTCTAACCAGTATACCACCATGGTTCTTCTAATTACCAACTACATTAATACCAATAGATCCAAATAGAAGTAGCTGGGAGAACTGCTTGTTCTTCCTATATTAACATAGTTTTTGACATTCTTTTTCTAGAATGTAAAAAAAAAAAAGAAGTAAAAACTTACCCTGCCCATTTCTCGTAGCTTAGTAAGCATGACTACAATGGTTGAATTGTGCTCCCAAAGCATTCTCCAGAAATCTTCTGTTGTTTCTGCCAAAGGTCCCTGTGTAGCTACATAGGCTTTTTGTTGCCTAAATGTAAAATGCAAAAAATAATATTTATCAATCAAAAGACAGCAGGCTCTCTTGCTGCATATAAACATTCTACTCAAACATTATTCTAATAAACATATGGCTGTAAATTATTAATGATAAGAATATTAAAACATATTAAATGTTATTTAATCCAACCATAGAGCTATTTTATTTTAAGAAGTTTGTATAGGAAATTGTTCTCTTAATATTGTGATTTATGCCTTTATCTTATTTAAAGTTTAATGCAACTCTAATAGCTCAATTTTGTGTGTCACAAAAAGCACTTAAGAAACACTTTGTGGCACAGTTCCATTTTTACACTGAAGGCTGACTGTCACACACTCTATTGAGCCTATGACTTATAGCTGGAAAGCAATTCTTTAATAACTCTTTCAGTGATTCAAAAACTATAGCAAAGGTTCTGAAGTCAGATCACAAAAATGGAAAAGGAACAGACTAGTTTATATTTTTAAGATGGCTAAGACAAATGGACACAGTCAGAGATGGTATTCAGCAGGTTCTGACCAGTTCTGGAGAACTGGTAGCGGAAATTTTGAGTAGTTCAGAGAATTGGTAGTGGAAATTTTGAATAGTTTGGAATACCACCTCTGACTGGCTCTGCTTCCATCTCTTCTCTGCCTCCTGAGTCCCAGCTGATTGTCTGGGTCTTCTTTTGTTGCCCCGCACAGGAGAACGGAGCTGGAAAGCAGGTTAATGGGGTGGGGAGAGAATAGGGATTTTACAGTATCCTTCCCCTGCCATGCCCGCCAAGCAACACCACGCCCACCAAGCCACACCCACAGAACCGGTAGTAAAAAATAATGAATTCCACCACTGGACATAGTGTTTTTGTGTGACAGCATTTTATTACCCACGACATTTGATCCATATATTCAATAGCTACATAATATCTTAGGTGAGCCTCTAATGAATTTATCCTCAAGTCACTTGCTTTCTGTTTTACAGGAAAAATTCTGGAATTGGGATCTAAGTTAGATGAAACTTCTATAGATTATTATTTAAATGTATAATGACAGATAAATCCATATGTTATGCTATGACTCTGAGAAAGAGACATGAGCTAGCAAAACAAACAACAGCAATGTGGTTAGAGATTAAACAATGTGGAAAGTTAGGGGAAGGAACTGTAGTGCTGGACTGATTACCATAAGAATCTGAAAAGAGCCAAAAGGACATAATGCATAATGGAAAACTATATTTATGACCATTACAACATAGGTAACTAGTACTTTTTGACATCACAAAAACTGCTTCTGTACCTGTATCCATCGATAAAACTGGCATTGATATAATCAGAGCCTTCTACTCCTCTGATAGGTTGCAAACATATCCTTGTGGATTCATATGGCATAATATTAACAAGGCGATTTTTAAATTTATTACATGGTAGATTGGCACTGATAAATCTTGAAGTATGAGCTTTAGAGCTGGCTAGCCGCTGCAAGAGACAAAGAAGACTTTGGGATTGCTCCTGATAATAATAATATAAAAAATGGGACAGCATTTTATTATAAATACATATCAGAACAAGTTCTGTATGGCATTTCACCGGATACAAATTAGATCTTCGAGTTAAATCTATAAAAGCAGCTGCTTTAATCCTAGAACAGTTTTGCTGTCGATTCTTCCCACTGCAAAATGTATCGCGATAAAAATGTGGAGACAAAATACCTTAAATTCCAATTCCATTCCTGTGACATTCTCTCCTGCTTCTATCTGTGTCAGCTTCTGAATATATGCATACAGGTTTCTGGCTGGCACTTCGGTATTTCCACAAGTCACTGCTTCAAGCAGTGCATCATGGATAAAGATGTATTGGTCCTCTGTTTGAACCATGTAATTTCTCTGGGCTCTCATCAGAGTTACATGGCCATAAATATCTACAGTCTTTTCATGTTTTATTCTCTCTAGCATGGCATCTATTACAATGAAACAGCCGGTCCTGCCAACTCCAGCACTGGAATAAAAAAGAAAGAAAGAAACCAACTCAGAAAAGGCATAGAAAGACTGAGAAAAATTCAATTCATGATATATCTTGTCATATTGTCATGGCAACCACCACCAGCAACACCAGAAAGGCAGTTCAGCAGCAGAAGCTGTAATTTAAGATCCCGGTTCCAGATTACTTCAGACATCTGGAAAAGAGTTTCTCATGATAAGACGGTCATTCTTCCCAGACCTGATCAGGCATTTGCATGAGGGCCTGGAATTGTGCACCCAACTGATATTGTCCCTGGATTCTACCAGAAATCTGGAGGAGGAAAAAACAACAACCATCCAGGATTCTTGACTGTACTTCCCATGATCATGAACCCCAATAAAGTCCTCACTGAAATGCAAGTGCAGGCAGTCCTCGTTTAGCCGCTGCCTCATTTAGCAACCATTTACAATTACAACAGGGATGAATAATGAAGTTTATGATCAATGCTTGCCTTTATGGCTTTTGCAAGTTGATAAAGCAAAGTTTAAGTAGGAACAGAAGCACAGTTGTGCTTAGTTTGCTCTTAGGAACTGCTTTGCTTAACAAATGAATTGCCAGTTCCAATTGTGGTAATTAAATTGAGGATTACTTCAGCTCTCTTCCCAATATTATGTCTGAGATTGGGGATAGAAGGAGTAGGGGCCGCTGGGCAGACGGTACAGATTGAGGGTGGAGCAATTCTAAGCACAGCACAGCTTCATCCTGAAATAAATTCTAGTTTCTTACATCTTTAGGCACATGCCCTGAACAGAACACAAGGTTTCAATATTCATTTGAATTATCGGATGAATAAAATGTCATACAAACTCGTCACAGGGAAGCAGTTGCCGTGCCAATTTTCAAATGGCAGTGTCTGCCACTCCTTCCCACATCACACTGAGAAACCATGAAACAAAACTTGGAGTGTGATTTTTATAATGGATTTCCCAAGAACGAACCGTATGTTAGGCTTGCAATTATAATTGTGTAAAGTTATAGGTAGTCCTCAACTTACGACCACAATGGAGCCCAAAATTTCTGTTGCTAAGTGAGGTATTTGCTAAGTGAGTTTTGCCCCATTTTACAACCTTTCTTGCCACAGCTGTTAAGTGAATCACTGCACTTATTAAATTAGTAACATGGTTGTTAAGCAAATCTGTATTCCCTGTTGACTTTGCCTATCAGAAGATTGTAAAAGGTAATCACATGGCCCTGGGATACTGCAACCGTCATAAATATGAGTCAATTGCCAAACATCTGAATTTGACCATGGAGAGGCAGTAATGGTCATAAGTATGAAAAACAGCCATAAGTCACTCTTTTCAGGGATGTTGTAACTTCGAACGTCACTAAATGAACTGTTGTAAGTCAAGGATTGCCTGTATATCATATAAGAGTTGGGTTTTTTTTTTTGCCTTTTAATGACTCTGTAATCTCTTATGTCAGGGTGGAGTTGGGGCGACTGAATGGAGTTGAGCGTTTACAGTCCGGATGCCCTTCCTGATGTCTACATGGACTTTGCAGCAGATATTTTCTCTTTGTGCCCAGAGAGAAATATCTGACGCTACCTAGGATCGAACTCACGGCTTCCTGATGGTGAGATGAGAGCTCCAATAGGCCCCCACACTGGTTATATTGTATGACAGATGTAACCTGACTAATGACAACAGGCAGTGAATAGGTTTTACATTGTTTTAGCTGCGTGAACTATTTTTGTTTATTCCAACTCAGTGTCTATGGAGATTCAGTCATCCAGGTTATGGTGGTCCCAAAGATGCTTTTTCCACAGGCAACTGGACTTTCTGATTTTTCTTTAAACCCAAGAATACACTAAGGCAGAAGCTTGTCCACCCCAAGGATAAAACGCCCAGACACAAACTGAGCAATGTGGTATATGCAGTACAATGCAGTGAGCCGTGTGCAGATCTATACATTGGGGAAACAAAACAACCACTTCATAAACACATGGCACAGCAAAGGAGAACAAACCCATCAGGACAAGATTCAGCAGTTCATCTGCATTCAAAAGCCACTCTTTTGAAGACAGCAAAGTTCACATTTTGGACAAAGAGGACCACTGGTTTGAAAGAGGGGTCAAAAAGGGCATCTATGTCAAAACTGAAAAGAGGGGGATGGATATGACATCATCTATCTCCAGTCTACAACACAGTCCTTTCAACAGTTTCAAGAAGGTGCTAAATTCCTGAGCAAAGACTTTATGGAATTACTCTCTGAACATATTTATTATGAAAATTCTGTGTTGGAGCACCGTATGAATGCCATAAAAATTTGTCCAATGCTGATTGAATGATCCTTATTGTGAATGTTTTTTCCATGTATCTTACCAATAAATCTTGTCTGATGCTGGACACTGTTCTGTTTTCTGCCTCATAATGAACATATATTTTTAAATTAATGCCTGGTGTTACAAATTTTAATATAATTTGCTTTTTAAATAAATATTAGAGAAATTGAAAGAAGTATCAATCGTTTTCTATGCAGCAATCATTATTATCGATCATGCTCGGAACTAAATCTCAAGAGCAAAATATCATATACTTGGCATCTACTATAGAGATTTCTCATACATGCAACTTCATGAAGTTCTCACAACTGATTATGAAAAAATAACCCAATCAATGTGCTGAATCTGGGATAATTATAGGACAAATAGCTTTATTTTATTCCCTGGAGAGCTGCTGTATATAAACAACAACTTACTTGCCTGGGATTTTATTTCTTAGGTATAATGGGGGTGAAAAGACCACATGATTTCTTGCTCATTTATAACTAGAGTTATTTATATGGATTCAAAAAAAGAGAAATAGAAGTAGTAGCTTGTGAAACTGTGCAATTTGTTAAATTAACTTTAGTTGGGGACATTATGTATTTCTCAGAATTCTTCACTGTCTAATTAAAAGTTCTGAGAATCACAAAAAAAAAATCATTCTGCCCCTTATAATGCACATTTTATCACTTTTGGAAATAGCAGATTATGGAAATGCATGCTGCTGTTTGCCTTATATATTCCTTTTTATTCGAACAAAAGGAACTCTTCAGTATAATATTTTGGCCATTAATTTTAGTTTACGTAATGCCTTCCCTTAATTTACTTTACTGACACAAAATTGTTTCCAAACTTCAACAGTGAGGGGGAAAAAAATCCTTCAATTTATGTTAGGAGTAGAAATTGCAAAGTTGGCACCAAAACAAAAACAAAAACCCACCCTATGCAAACCATTAAACAAGTATGCCTACTAGGACATAGTTATTGCTTCAATATTATCACTCATCCAGTTCCAACATTTGTTTTCAATATCTGCAAACACATCCGAGCCTGTCCTATGAGCTGAAATATGTTTAATATCCCATGATGAAATAGAACAACACTATGCAGAAAAAGAACATTAAGAGACATTTGGGGGCCATTTCATATTGAAGCCATTGTGAGAATGTGCTTGGAGATGGACTTTTCTGATTAATTTGTTGTCGTTATAATGCTGACCCTTCTCTGATACTTCAGTGATCTGGCAAGGGAAGTCATTGTAATTACTAGATTTCACAGACCATTTATCTGGAAGAGCAAAGATATTAAAATATGGGCCAAAACCATTTAGAACATTTTTGACATATATCAAGGGATAATTTGATTGAATATTGCAGTTTTGAATACACTGACTCTGGCATTTATGAGGTGTAAGTACATAAAGCAACTGTGAAAAAAAAATAAAAGAGAAAGAAACAGATAAAAAGGTATTGGGTTCATGAAAATGTTTATAGGACTAATTAAATGATACTGCCAAAACAGTTCAGCACAACAGAGATTATTTTGAGTTTAAAATGTGAAAGAACAAAACAAATAAGCAGCCGAACAAATGGAGGGTATATTCAAATGGAGATCCTGAATTAGCTATACCTAGCTCTTCTTTTTAGGGTTAGTTAGCGGAATTAACTAGCATGCTTTTTCAGTTTAAGATAGCAACAGGATCACTATGAAAGCAACCTGGCTGTGAAATGAATTGAACTGATAGAAAAAGAGTTCTCCAAACTGGCAACTTTAAGACTTGTGTAGTTCTCCACAAGTCTTAAAAGTTGCCAAGTTTGGGGACCACCTGTGATAGAATCTTAGGGCTGAAAGGGACCCTGGAGGTCTTCTAGTCTAACCCTTGCCCAAGGCAGGAGTCCTTATATGATCCTGAACAAATCTTTTCTTGAAAGCCTCCAGCAATGGAGCATATACAAGTTATTCCGTTGATCAATTGGTCTAATTGTCAGGAAATTTCTCCTTATTTCCTGGTTGGATCTCCCTCTGACAAGCTTCCACCATTGTGTCTTCTTTGCTTCTTAAAGAGTTCTTGTACAATTCTTTGGGAAGGGCACACCATTGTTAAATCGTCTGTCTCATATTCAAGAGGCAGTACACATTGCCTGTACACCTTCCATCAATGAAATGACTGCATTGGGGGGATACCTAGGTATCTCTCCAACCTTACATGGACCAGATCCAGTGGTTATATTCTACCAGTTCAGCCCGGTTCTGGTGTACCGGTAGCATCGAAGATCAGTGGCGATTGAACCAGTTTTCTCTGAGGAGCTGCTGTTGGACCCACTTGCCTGGCCGGGCTCCATACTGACCTTTATTCCCTGCTCTTGAAGTGCATGCAGCTGCTTTGCACGGCACAGCAGATTGCCGCACGTCAGCGTCTGAAGTGACAGGGAGAGTGCAGGATTGCAGGCGGTGTGTTGGAAAGCCTCTGCGCAGGTGCAAAGTGCGCGTTTGGCACACACAAAGTGTGTATGTGCGCACGAAGTGCACCCACCAAGCCGCACCTACTGAACCAGTGGCAAACTATTTTGGAACGCATCACTGACCAGATCTGTACCTGCTTAGCTACCAAACTATAAACAATGGGAGAATAAAGACAGGAGAGTTAATCCAGAGAGAGGAATCAATGTCATACCACTCACCAACTACCATAGACTGGTTCCACCATTTT